TTTGAAGACGTTTCGCTTCTCGTCCAAGAAGCTTCTTCAGCTCTGACTGGATGGTGGGGAATGGAAGGATTTATGTTCCATGCAGACAGCTGGTCATTTGCATTCTTTTAGTGGGTCGTTAAGGCCACCTGGAGGTTTACCTGTGTCCTCAGGGTCACCTGAGTGGTGCAAATGGGTATGGAGCCTTCTTGGAACTGTTCTAAGGACTGTGTTGTAGATTGGAGATAGATGACATCATATCCTTCCTCCTCTGTTGAGAGAGGGCGTCTTACATTGTTGTGAATATAATAACAATAATGGAATAACAGAGATGGAAGGGACCTTGGAGGTCTTCTAGTCCAATCCCCTGCTCAGGCAAGAAACCCTATACCATACGGTATATAATATATAACCTAAGAACCAGTGGTGAAATCCGATTTTTTTTACTGCTGGTTCTGTGGGCATGGCTTGGTGGGCATGGTGTGGCTTGATGGGTGTGGCTTGGTGGGCATGGCAGGGGAAGGATACTGCAAAATCTCCATTCCCTCTCCACTCTGGGGCCAGCCAGAGATGGTATTTGCCGGTTCTCCAAACTACTCAAAATTTCCACTACCGGTTCTGTCAGAACCTGATGGATTTCACCCCTGCTAAGAACTCATGCTTGTCTGTTTTTACCTCTAGGACTTTTAAGTAACTTAATTGGTTGGAAAACACATGATTTAAGTTAGCCAGTTGGTAGTAATTTCCCCTAATAAAATTTGTTCTCATCAGTGGTTCTGATCTATCCAGGGTAATCATTTTCAAAAAGAATGGATGTATTAAAACAACAATAATAAAATGAAATGACTGGTAAAAAAAAAAAAACCTTGAATGAAAAAGCTACCGCAACAATATCTGCCACAGTTGGTCTTCTTCCAAAACAACTACAAGAAGCTCATTTTCTCATGGTGTAGAAAATGTGGACTATGAAATAGTCCTCAGGGTATAGGAAGCAGAAGAGGTTGTTTTCTCTAAAATATCTCAGGAGGAGACAGAATGTAGCACTAAATATTGAATTTCACTTTTTCTTTCTTCCGTTTCCTGCTTTTCCCTTCCCTCGTAATTCACAATAAACAGGGCTGTTGAAACAGGAAGTTATTTTTTTCACCAAGAGACCAAAACCTATGTCAGATACACCAGATAAGGAAAAAAAAACCAAAAACACAGAGTCCATCACTGTAGGAAAGCATTTGTTAGGTGTTCACCAAATTTCTTATTTCAATTTCTCCGTAGGACCTTTCAAAGGGTCTGATCTTAATATGTACTTTCACCAAAGAGGTTTCAACAGTAGAGCAAATGGTGTTCTTCTTCGGGTCCTTATTTGAGTTGTCCCTTTCATCCCCAAAAGGGCTATTGTAGAATTGGATTGTGTGCCAAATGGACAACCCAATAGGTTCATGGAATTCTAGCATCTTTCTGAAATAGGTCTGCAGCAAGAGTAATTAACTCAACTCTTGGACCGTCTATGGCTCATAGTTTCATTTTGGGGGGCCTCCTGAAATCCTTCAAGAACTTGCTGCTGAAAATGGTGTGGAACATGATAATGTTCAACAATAGCCTGGTTAAAATAAGACAATTTAAGTTCATCTTAAAATAATTTTACTTAAAAAAAATATATATCCCCAAATGCAGAAAGAAACGAATCAAAGGTTTTGGTTCTATGTTGTTGTTAGTTGTGAAGTTGTGTCCGACCCATCACAACTTTCCTCCAGGCCTTCCTGTCCTTTACCATCCCCTGGAGACCATTTAAGCTCACACTTACTGCTTCAGTGACTCCATCCACCCACCTCGTTCTCTGTTGTCCCCTTCTTCTTTTGCCCTCAATCTTTCCCAGCATTAGGCTCTTCTCCAGTGAATCCTTCCTTCTCATTAGGTGGCCAAAGTATTTAAGTTTCATCTTCAGGATCTGGCCTTCTAAAGAGCAGTCAGGGTTGATCTCCTCTAGGACTGACCAGTTTGATCGCCTTCCAGTCCAAGAGACTTGCAGGCGTCTTCTCCAGCACCATAGTTCAAAGGCCTCAATTCTTTGGCGCTCAGCCTTCCTTATGGTCCAACTTTCACAGCCATACATTGCAGCTGGGAAAACCATAGCCTTGACTATACTCACTTTTGTTGGCAGGGTGATATCTCTGCTTTTTAGTATGCTGTCTAGATTTGCCATTGCTTTCCTCCCCAGGAGCAAGCGTCTTTTAATTCCTTGGCTGCAATCCCCATCTGAGGTGATCTTGGAGTCCAGTAAAATAATATCTGTCACTACCTACATTTCTTCCCCATCTATTTGCCAAGAATTGATAGGGCCAGATGCCATGATCTTAGTTTTCTTAATGTTGATTTCAAGCCAACTTTTGCACTCTCTTCCTTTACCCGCATCAAGAGGCTCCTTAGTTCCTCTTCACTTTCTGCCATTTGGTTCTATAAATATGTCTATGCACACTCCTGATGATAAGTAACTGTTTATTTTATTTTGTTTTATGACAGGATTTATAAAAATTTGATTTTAGGTGTAACTAGGAGATATGCCTTTTCACTTCCCCACATTGTTTAATTTGATGAAGTGTTGTGTATTTTTTAGTTGCATTGTTTGTTTAGTGTCTTTTTATTTCTGTGGGTTGCATTGATTGGCCATTAACTGCAATAAAAACAGGCATTCCTACCACATCTTTCTAGTTCTCTTTTTCGTTTAAAAGTGCATCTTCCCAGCACAATTATGCTGCACAGTCCTGTGATACTCTGTTTTTATTTTTATTCTTTTAAGGCACAGCAGGGATTGGAGACAAGGCGAAAGCTTTAAAAATGATGCTCATCGTAGAGAAAATGGATGCCCGCCTCTTCCTCTTCTCTCATACAATACTAATATCCGAAATCGCTCGCTGAAATAGATTTATAATAGGTTTGGGAGAGAATAATCTGCAACTAATTTATTATTATGGAATTTTCTGTTCCAAAAATACATTGTCTTGGATGGAGATCCAGAGCAATGAAGCCAATTGATGAAAAACAGGGCAGCTGTTAATGCGATCTAAAAAAGAACGTGTAGCATCCAACGAATGCCTGCTGCTGAAAAGTGTGACAGTGAGAGAGGGCAATTGCCCAATGGACCTTCAATAAACATCTCCAGGACCTGATGAACCTTTGGTAGGAGATCCCAGAGTTGACAAATAGACCTTGGCTCTAATCCAACAGACGTGTTCTTGCGTTTTGATGTTTATATTTTGCGATTCTGCCACTCAACTCAGTTACCCCAGCTTTACAAACGACCGCTCCATAAGATTTGGATTGTGAACTGGTGAAATGATTGCGCCAAGCTGTTGAAACTGTCACACAAACCACTGTGCTCTGGGCTAGCTCTCTGCATGTAGTCCAGCATTGCTGTGCCAATCTGATTTGTGTCCCATCCAGAGAAGTTCAGGAACAATTATTGGGTGCATATTCTGCTTCAATTACTCTCCTTTGACTTGCTGAAAAAGGAAATTGGTTATGATTATTTTCTCTCCTCCCTCTCCACCCCCCACCCCCCCGGAGAATATTTGGAGAAAATTCATTTTGAGTCACCTTGAGTTATTTTGAGTTGCCTCGGCAAGATGGGTGGCATTGAAGTTAAATAAATAAATGAAGAATTAATAAATAAAATCCTCATGGCTCGGGTGCAGGTTCTTGTACCTTTTATAGTATTTACTGGAATGTCAACTCCTGTTTTGCTGTCATGCAGCCCCACCACCCCCCTTGCAAATTGCCTGCAGATTCTTTGGCTTCTTATGCTTTCTTTAAAACCTAGGAGCATTTCCTTTATCAGGAACTGTGGACAGCCAGGGATGCAGGCTGAATGATGGATAGAGATGTAACCAGAGATCCAGGAACATCTCCACATTAGTGTTGGGTAGCTAATAAATTAAAATAAATAAAATCACTTCCACCTTGTCTACTTTAAAGGATACTCTGAAACATCAGCAACAGATACTCTCAAGAAATGATAAAGCACCTTGGAAAAGATGCAGAAATGTGGGAGACCTTCTTGTGCGAAGGTGGATTTGCCGAACAGAATACAGAATTACAGAGGTCTTCTAGTCCAATCCTATAGCATTTCAGACAAATGGTTGTCCAGTCACTTCTTCAAAGCCTCCAGTGATGGAGAACCCACAATTTCTGAAGGCAAGCTATTCCCTTGATTAATTGATGTCAGGAATTTCTCCTTAGTTCTAGGTTTGATCTTTCCTTCTTCATAAGTTTTCATCCATTGCTTCTTGTCCTGTCCTCAGGTGCTTTGAAGAGTATATATGTTGAGATAGATAGATGATAGATGATAGATAAACAGATAGAGAGAGAGAGATAAAGATAGAGATAGATAGATGATAGATAGATAGATAGATAGATAGATAGATAGATAATAGATAGATATAGTAGATAGATAGATGATAGTTGATGATCGATGATTGATGATAGATAGATAGATAGAGAGAGAGAGAGAGAGAGAGAGATAAGATAGATAGATAGATAGATAGATAGATAGATAGATAGATAGATAGATGATAGATGATAGATGATAGATGATAGATGATAGATGATAGATGATAGATGATAGATGATAGATAAAGATAGAAATAGAGATAGACAGACAGGTGATAGATAGAATAGATAGATAGATAGATAGATAGATAGATAGATAGATAGATAGATAGTATATTAGTAATTATAGTATAATATACTATAATACTATATATATATAGTATTATAGTATATTTTAGTATAAACATAGTGTTACTCCAGTCCAAATTTAAGGCATCGATTGTGCATAGCAGTTGGCATTTCAAACAGACATTTAACAGATGTCCACGTTCTCAAAAGTGGAAGTGCATGCAAAGATAGTCAGAACTTATTATGTATAGCTGACTAATGTGACAAGTTTTTCCGAATTGTTAGTACATTTTCTATTTTCTTTCTTTTCTCTTTTCCTTTTTCTTCTTTCTTTTCTTTCCCTTTTTCCTTTTTTCCTTTCCCCCCCTCTCCAGCCCCCCTCATTCTCACCTGCTTCAGTGTGCAAGTCCTGGCTGGGAAATAGGGGGTTGGGTGGGAACCAGGTTCTCCTGTGAAAAAACAGATGCATGACTGCACACAGTTCCTGAGGCCGAAGCACGGAGAGGAAATAAAACTTGTTCCTGGAAGTTTCTGAACAGCCAGATTTATTGGCTGCTTGCAACATGTTACCTGGCCACAGCTGGCACGCTCAGAGTGCCAGCAAAATCTCATTAGACACCCTGTTTTCTATAGAAGTGGCCAGTTTTAAGAAAAGAATGACATAGAGCAGAGGTCTTCAAACTTGGCAGCTTTAAGACTTTTGGACTTCAACTCTCAGAATTCTCCAGCCAGCATAGCATAGCATAGCATAGCTGGCTGGAGAATTCTGAGAGTTGAAGTCCACAAGTCTTAAAGCTGCCAAGTTTGAAGACCTCTGACAGAGGCACAGGCCCAAATGAAGGAAGGAGAAAAATGGAAGAGATGTACTACTGTGTCTTCATAATATACAGTAGTGGCCAAAACTGTGGAAACCTTTTGGGAAAAGTATATTTTTGAGGTTCGATGGCTAATAACACCACTTTTTGGGGGGAGTTTCAAGATAATCCTATTCCACTGCTGGAATGGCCTGGGAATAGCCCAGACCTTCACCCAATTGGAAATCTATGGGGCCGACTAAAGAAACTTGTTAGTCAGAAGCGACCCAGCAATAAAACCCAGTTAATAGAAGCCATCATTCAATCTTGGTTTTACATTAGAACAGTTGCAGAACTAAAAGACTTGGTTCACCCCATGGGAAAACATTGTAAGGCCGTAATTCATGCTAAAGGTTACCCAATTAAGTATTAACTGACATGGTGATCATTTTTGTATATCTCATTTTTTCTATGGTGATCATTTTGGTATATCTTGTTTTTTCTATGTGTTTCACTTTTCTTCTTTCTACTGTAACTGCTATTCTAATAGCAAATCCTTCATGAAAGTGATTGCATTACATTCTTGATTAAATTATCTTTCCATTGATATATATTTTTATGATACTACTGCAAAAAAAAAAAGTGGTGTTATTAGCTAGTTTTAGAAAACACTCTTTTCCAGGATGTCCAGGATGTGAGGGGTCTGTAGATATTTTCACAGCCCTCTTTTTGACCAAGGTCATAAGTGTGAAAAAGGGACAGAGCTTCACTTTTTTTCAGTGCCATTGTAACTTTGAATGGTCACTAAATGAAGAGTTGTAAGTTGAGGACCTGCTGTCTATCCTAGTATCCCAACAGACAAGAAAGAGATTTTGTTAAAAAAAAAAAACAGAAAGAAAAAGTCTCAGGATGGATTAAAGAAGATGAACAATGAAGGAAGGAGAGTCACACACTGGAAGACGTTCCAGCCCTGAAGCTCGGTGGGCTGCTGATTTCACACACAACTTGCTAACCTCTCACAGCTGGATTTCTGCAGGAACAAAGTCCGCCTCAATTCTACCCACAACTGCAGGCCAAACACACCATGCCGAGCTTAATCCAAAGTGTAACCATATGAAAGAAGCCAAAAATTGGCTTTTTGACTGCCGTGTGAACCCTCCAGTGTGTGGCCCCCCCCAACAAATGGAGTCTTTTTATTTTCATTCATTTGGAGCCCCAGAATCCACTGCACTACCAAGGTTCGTTTTCCTGAGACTTGGAAAAAATAAACATTATTGGGTAGCTCTAAGATAAATACGTTTTGATAGAGTTTAGGATTACAGGACTGGAAGGGACCTTGGAGGTACAGTAACAGAGTTGGAAGGGACCTTGGAGGTCATCTAGTCCAACCCCCTGGGTCACGCAGGAGACCTGTACTAGGGATTTGACCCGCCAAACTGCCAACCTTTCTGATCGACAAGCTCAGTGTCTTAGCCAGTGAGCCACCTAGTACACCCTGTTCAAGCAGGCGACCCTATTCTATTCTTGACAACTGGCTCTTTAGTCTCTTTTTGAAAAACCATCCAGTGTTGGAGCGTCCCCGACTTCTGGTGGCAAGCCGTTCCACTGATTAATTGTTCTCATTGTCAGGAAAACTTCTCCTTAGTTCGAGGTTGGATCTGTCTTTAATCATAAAAGATTTAAGGACAATCTTGATGCCCAATAAATCTCCCAGGGCACAATATAAAATCCTGAGCTGATGTAGCCCCACCCATACGTCTTCTACATCAGGAGTCACCAACCTTTCGGACCTCAGGGACCACTAAATTCATAATTTTAAATCCCGCGGACCACTAATATGATCTGCCTAATGAACTGTTGGGTGGGCATGGCTAGTTGGTCATGTGACTGGGAGGGTGTGGCCAACTCCTCGCCTGCCCGCCCGGGCTCCTTAAGGCCCCAACAGTTGGAAGCAGTTGTTGGAGCTAAGCAGCCACCATGAGAAAAAGTTGGCAAAACAGCTCAGTTCAAATTAGATCTGACCGAGAAGGAGGCTCAGCAGAAGCACCTCACTGAGGACTAGGAGCATAGGCTTTCCAAGCAGAGGGAAGACCTGCAGGAGTGCAAGGCCAGGTAGCGGCGCCTGGAGGCTCAGCGGGCTGAGATGGTCAGCCAGTTCCAGACCATGATGCAGTCCCACTGGAACAAGGCTCTCCGGCTCTTCGCCACCAGTGGCACTTCCCTCCAGTCTTTGCCCAAAACCCCACACCAGGAGGCTGAAGCAGACCCCAAGTTGGAATTTCTGCCCTCCTCCAACCCGCACAAAAAGACCACGAATGAGGAGACTCTCTGCAGCAACATAAACGTTCTTTGCACGTATCCGTCCCAGGGGCCATAGTTTGATGACCCCTGATTTAATGCAATATAAAAAATGCAAATAATTTTTCTGTGGGCCACCAAAATTTTCTCACGGACCACCAGTGGTCCACAGACCACCAGTTGGTGACCGCTGTTCTACATCATCCCACTAGACTGTGGGTCACATGCTCCTTAGATGTTCCATTTACACAGAGATTAGGAAAAAACTTATTCTGCCAATAACTGCTAGGTATCCTGGTCGCTCCGACACTACCTATCTTCAGTGGCTGTTTAAGGATGAATAGTCCATAACTACAGCGCAAGTGGCCAGATTCTGCGCAGCAGCACTGGGGATTTGTCACAAACGCATGTCTTCTCCACCATAGTGATGTTACATAACAAATATGGCAAACCCTTTGCACTGCTTAGTCTTTTCCCTTTTGGCGTCAAACCTACAATGGGCCACACAGTATATGGATTGTAATTGTAGTATATAGTTAGACCGTATATAATTGACAGACTGGATTTTATTAGTTGTTGTTTATTATTTCATACTAGAATTTTTTGTTGTATATTTACTCGGCGCTTTTATTTGTTCTGGTCTCTGGTCTAAAGGTAAAGGTTCCCCTCGCACATGTATGTTAGTCTTTCCTGACTCTAGGGGGCAGTGCTCATTTCCATTTCAAAATCGAAGAGCCAGCACTGTCCGAAGACGTCTCCGTGGTCATGTGGCTGGCATGACTAAACATCAAAGGTGCACGGAACACTGTTACCTTCCCACCAATTTTTTCTACTTGCATTTTTTACGTGCTTTCAAACTGCTAGGTTGGCAGAAGCTGGGACAAGTAACAGGAGCTCACCCCGTTACGCGGCACTAGGGATTTGAACTGCTGAACTGCTGATCTTTCGATCGACAAGCTCAGCATCTCAGTCACTGAGCCACCGTGTCCCTTTGTCTCTGGTCTAAGACTGTAATAAATTGATTGATTGATTGCACCATTCCACCCAGGGCAGACCATAATACCCAGGACTGTTTAATGGTTGTTAAAAGCCATTTCTCTTAATGGTCATTCACCTTGCCTCATTTGAATAAGCCTTGAGGTTGTATACTTTTGGACCGCAACAGATGCTGTAAACATCTGAAGAGATGCTCCTTCAAAGTCTCTTTAGGTTCTGCCAGGCACAATGATTCTACTTCTGTGCCTTTCTAAGCTTCCCGATTAGTATACTAGAGCAATTTTTAAGATGTGTGGTCTTCAATTCCCAGAATTCCCCAGCTTAAATCACAAACACTGTGTCAGCTTTGGAAGCCATATGAACCCTGGAAGCTTCCACGCTGCCACCTTCTTGCACTTGGGAAAGTAGGAGGTGGGATTTAGTAGAGAGGTTGTAGGTAGACATAATAGCATTCTTCTTTTTGGTCAAGGTCAGAGTGCATCTGGAGGAGGAGTGGTTGCAGTGGTGGCTCATTGGGACGGATGGTGATTGGGCCATCTGATGGAGTGATGGGTGCAGCGGCTGGATTTGGGGTTTTGATTTTTTGAGGGAAAACTGTTCTGTCCCCGTCCCACACACGCACCCCCACAGATGGCCCAGAGTTAATAAGCCACCCGGCAAAGTCTTTGAAGATAAAGCTGGCAGCAACCCAGTGGCTAGCTGCCAATTCAGACTTTACTCACACAAAACAAAGATTAGACTGCAAGCATTCTGATAAAGCAGGCAAAGTTTCAGCAATACAAGGATTAGTCCAAATGCAGTCCGACAAGGCAGGCAGAAGTCCAGTAACACAGAGATCATGGATTATTTCTAGTTTTTAATCGTCACAAACTGAACCGGCCACCACACCCACATTTATACCCTGTGGGGTGTGGTCCAGTGATTCAGCTAATCTCTGGCACGCCTTCCCCTCTGCTGCGCACACTTCTCCCTGCGCCGCTGTCGAGGATCTAGCCAGCACTTATCTCCTTTGTCGCTGTCCACCTGTGGCTGCAGGGATGTGCTTGGCTCTGGGCCTATCTCTTAGCCTTCAGTGTCCTACGGAGGCATTGCCAGGGAGGAGGGTCCTGGAGAGGGAGGCCTTGCCAACTCCTCTCCCTCACTCTCAGAGTCTGCATCTGTCGATAGCCCAGGCTCAGGCAACGGAGCCACAACAAAAACCCAGAACTCTCAGATTTGGGTTTTCCCAGATGTGCCAGTATACCTATTCCAATAAATGAAAGATTTGGGATGACACTTGTGTCTGAGTTTTTAATTGGAGTTGGGTTGTTCTGGAACGCTGACATTTAAATCTGGGTGTTTGCTGGCCCCAGCCTTGCAAA